GTCTTGGGGACATATGTGAGGATTAATAAGGGAATTAGGCATTAAGGAAGACAAGATAAAGAATCTTTACTTTTTAATTTTGAGCGGGATATATGCTCAGAATGGGAAACCATCTGACATTATTTGGGAATTTCCTTTTAGCTTACACCATAAGGGGTTTATTAAAATATGCTCTATGTCAATTTAACGGGAAGCCAAGACACAATACCCTGCGGACATGTATCTACGGCTGCTCAGTCTTGCTATAAAAATGTCTTTTCCAAGATAGATGCAGAGTGATTGCAAAGAAATAGTAACACATATTTAGGCCAGTTATATGAAGTTATACATTACATTCTGCTCCACCGAAGGCATTGTGATTAGAATTAGTTAGAATACGGTGTTGTTTCTTTAATAGTACAGGACTCGATGTGTGTAATCTGAAAAAGTAAAAAAATGCTCCTAGGTATCCTTAAATAGGGCCTCCTTATCCATAGTGTTAACTGTGATTGGACCCCAACTGAGGAAAGTATAATAAAATAGGGCAAATGAGGAAGAGGCCAATCGCTTCTTAGGGTGATCATTACATGTACATTCCGGTAGAAGTTATTAAATTTCATAAGGAGCCCCTTAAAAAACAGGAGGATATCTATGAATTCCCTATCCTTTTCCGCTTCCCGTGTTCATCTTTTTTCGATTCATTATTTTTCGTTTATTGTTGATTGTAAACTGCTTAAGGCATCTCTGGAAAGTATTCTTGCGCGATATAACAGTAGACACATGTGCAATGATTCCCTGTTAATAATGCATAACGAGACGCCTGTGTGTCCAAGGAAAAGGAAAAAATTGGGACAAATTAAGTATAACCTATATCAGATGGTGTCATTGAACTGTATAGAAGACGTATATTATGAAATTTAATTTGGTTCAGCAAAGTGCTTCCTCATTTGAAGCATATGAGTGCTTCGTTATTTATGGACAGATCTCATGAATTGTTGAAATATTATGAACTAAGACAGAGTATCCTCTTGGCATGGGGTTCTGAACTAAGTGAATCACACGAAATATACGCCTGTAGTTTATATGATATTATATCTAGTACCACAATTAAAAGTAGTATGCGAGATGAATTCATTTTTATATATAATTTTTGGGGGGTAATTCTAGGGAGCTGAGGCTAAAGAAGGATGAGGACGTAATTTTTATATTCCGTAA